GAGTCAGACTTATGCATGTTTAAAAACATTCTGTCAAAAAAAAAAAAATTAGACACAAAGGTGGTGCAGGGGAAAAAACCCTGTGGGAACTGCCTACCTCCTGAATGAAGGGCTGGCTCCTGAAAGCAGTCCCAACTAGTGAGAAAATGCCTGAAGCAGTCAAGCTGCTGATGGCTTTTCTCAGAGTGGGGGGACATCACTTGGTGAATGAGCCTCTCTTTACAGGTACTTTTCAGCCAGTGCCACGAGCCTGAAGAGTAATCAGCTGATTAATGTGAAATTAGAGACAGAGACTTTGATTAATGGTGGATGCAGGAACAATGTAGAAGGAGAAAGCCCAGGGCTTTGCCTCTGGAGGCAGTTGTTGCATTACCTGGAGGCCATCCCTCTTGCTGCTTTTCCACTGATCTCACATTCTCCTCCTGTCTCTGTACCACTGGTCCCTTCTCCTTCTCATGACTCTCAAGCCATGGCTTGTGGCTCGGCATGGTGTGCAGGTCCCTGTCCTTGATTTCCAGCACAGGGACAAGGAGGTATTTGGAGAGGGATGCAGGAAACCCACGAGGAAGAAAGTGAGCTTGCAGTATTTCTGGGGTCAGAGCTCACTGGAGTATTGGCTGGGGAGATTTTCCTCTGCTCCTTTTGCCTTTGCTGATTTAAGGAGATAGAAAGAAAGAAGCAAAATCCCTCCCTCCTTCCTCCCTTCCTTCCTCCCTCCCTCCCTTGTTATTTTTTTCCCCTTCTAACAGTATAACGATTAGGTACCACTGGAGCCAAAGTCAAATTAACTAAAAGAAATACTGAAATCTGGTATGTAATGTTTGAAGGTGAAGGGCCCCCAGAGTGACTCAGACAGGGTCACCCAGCTGTGCCACCCTGCCGAGGGACACAGAGCTGTGCCCTGGGTGTGCTCAGCCTGCAGTGGGTGATGGAGGGGCTGAGGGTGGGATGAGGGTCACCCCCCAGCCCTTCCCTGCCAGGCACAGCTGTAAGAGCTGCAGGCTGTGCCAGCTCAGCATCCAGACATTGGGGGTGGGATGTGGATCAGCCGCCTGACTCACATCACTCTGGGCTCGTGACTGTGTTCTTTTGGGTGGTAATCATGCAAACGTGCCAAGAGCAGCAGCACTGCTGGGATCTTTGCTGCCCATCCCCTGTCTCCTTCCAGTCTGTGACCTGGCTGCATGTAGAATGGCACCTGGCCTCCAGAAAGGAAAAGGATTTTTCTCCCTGAAGTTAATATTTTCAAAGAACTCAGTGTTTTCCCTCTCAGTAAGTAGCTCTGTTAGAAGGACAGATGAGCTGTCTCTGGTGGTGATGAGATAGGATCACAACTCTAGCTGGCAGTAACTTGGTATGATCATAGTTTCCCTCTCGTGGTTTGCAAAGGAATTAACTGGAAGGATATTTAATTACTTTCTCAGGTGAATATGGTCAAGCCATGCTGGAGCATCCTGCAGTTCTGGTCCCTTCACCTGAGAAGATCCAGGTGGCACTGCTGAATTTTGTTAAATCTGTAGCTCTGCCCTTCTGGTCATAATTACAGATTTTTGCTTCTCCTTTCCACTGCAGAATGACTGGAGCTGTTAGACGAGGTCTGAGGTGTCCTTCCATTAGGAGATATTTTCTTACATTATCTCTCCCTCATGCTATTTTCTGCCTGCTACAAAGGTCATAAGTTCTCTTGCCTGTGAAGAGCTGGGTAAGAGCCCCAGTTATTCCAAACCACTTCTTAAAAGTTTCTGTAGGAAACTGGGGAAGGCCTGCGTTCCACAGAAAAGGAAGGAGCCTCAAAGAAAATAAAAAAACGGGGAGTATGTAAAAGAAGGGTAATCCCACGAGTCAGGGAGGTCAGTGGAGAGTCTCAGCATCCACAGGGTCTGAGTGCAACAGTGGTCCCAAGGAAATGCAGTAGTGGTTGACATCCAGGGAGTGCCACAAGCTCATACCATGGTGGTGACTGGAAGACAGGCTTTGTTTGATGTGGACAAACAATATAAACAATAAATATTTTTGGACTGCTTTTTTGCCTAATTGTAGAGTCCCTGAGGAAGATGTTTGGCATCCTCCCCTCTCCTTGCTTGTACTGAAGGGACTCAGTATCCTGCAGAGACAGCAAGGGAAATGACAGGATTATTCCCCATGGTGATTATCCTGTGATCTCTTAGGGCTGTATAAATGGGAGCTGATTACAGTAGAAAAGGAGTAAATTGTGTAATTAGAGAGGGGGAAGAGGGGAGGACTTAACCTCTGCCTGAAGGTGCTGGTTTGGAGAAAAGAGTGGAAAAGAGAACACTGAGCAGTGTCTGTTCTGGGACCCACAGCCCTGGAAAGGGCTGACCTGGTCTGGTCCATGGCTGCTCCTGTTGCTTTGTGCAAGCCCTTTGATATTCCCTTCTGGAGAAAGAACAAAATATTTCTTTCTGCTGGAACTCTTGGCCAGTTTCTTTGTGAAGAAAGTCCCTCTTACATGTCCACCTTGCCCCAGGCCTGCAGTGTGGTTGCCTTACAAGGGGACTGGCTGCACTCAGACATTGGCATCACCCCAAATTTCCCTTTGGGACTTGTCTTGAATGGTTAAAAGAGAAAAGCCATTGCAGAATGGAACCCCCAGCAGTTCTATGTTGGGTGTAAGATGACTAAGATATTTCCTGCTGCTCTACATGGAGCAGGAATTTTGCCTCCCCTTCCCTTTATTATTGACCCAGTCTGGCCTGGGCCATAAAGTGTGTCTGTTCCCATTGCAGGAAAAAAAAGCACACAGCAGAACTGCTCTCAGAGCCACAGAGAGGGAGGCTATTATTGTTAATATTATTCATGCCAGGAAAAATAGCCAATTACGTTCCTATAGAACCACTCTCTGCCCAGTGAGCCAGTAATTGCAACATCTAACATTCATCACAGAGCTCTGAAAGTACTTTGGGAATAAAACACTGGCAAATGGATGGACTTGAAAAAGACAGTGGAAAAAAGTAAAGTCAAGGCACTAGATATTCAGGGGTGTAAAATGCTTGCAGGGTATTAATGCCCACTTACACCTCAAGTCCCACAGATGCAAGAATTTGGCTTTGTCTTATATCCACTCTATTTTATGTATTAAATAACTGTATTAATGTAGATGTTTAATAAACTGAATAGTGAAATAAGATGTAACTGAGGTGGGGACACTACCAAAGGTGCTTTCTTGATGTTTAAGAAGGTTAGCTGGGCAACTGTGACACAAGGAAATTCTTGCATTCATTTCCCAGGTTTACCAGTGAAACAACCATCAAAGGGGAAATTCATCTTCCCATTACTTCTTTTCCTTCTTAGAGGAGGAAGAAAAGACAAGGTCTTTTCAAGAGCTGCAAGGTGTTGAATATGTTTGCTGTGCTGGACTGCACTAAAGGCCACGTTTCACTCCCTGCCTCTCCCAAGGTGATCCATGGAAAATGTCTGGAGATTTGTCAGGTTTCCCAAGATCTACTAATGGTATCAGATGCTGAAGCCACCAGGAACCCACAGGCTCTGGGGGATCTGCTCCAAGGTCTGTGAGCAGCACCTCTTCCCCACAGGCTGTGTAGGAATCTCATCCTGAGGTGGATGCCTTTCCCATCCAGAAATGGAAGGGTTAACTTCATGTGTCAGAGGACTTGGCTCATTTCACCGAGTTGTTTGGGGCTTTCCCTGTGTAGCCAGAAGGATAATTTAGCTGTGTGTCTTCAAAATGCTGCAGTTTCACACCCTGTAAGACGTCTGTCCTTTAAATTGCTTGGTGAGCAGCAGCCCTCATTTATCATGTCAGCTGTGATCCATGGAACAGCCACAGCCTTGCTCTTTCCTGAGCACTAGCCCACCCTTCTCTTTGAAGAAAAACAAATCTACGCTGAAATTGCTGCTGCCGTGAGTTTGCTTTTTCGCCCTGAACCCTCACAAATAACCTTTAGGTGCCCTCCAAAGGCATTTTCTCTTTGTGCCATAGGTGCAGAAAACGATGCTGGCCCATAATCAGAGATTTTGGGTCAGCCACAATGTCATACACAGTGTAGGTAATGTCAAACCTTTCAGAACAGGTAAGCTCACAAAACAACCCAAGATTGTGCCAAATTGAGACAAAATTGTGAAGGGACAGCTTTCCCTTCTGCCCTGCTCTTCCCTGGTTGCCACGGGTCACATCACAACACGCAGGGCTGTAATTGCTGCTGGCAGATCCACTGCAGCCATGGCCCCGCTCTCGCCTTCACACCTTTGTGTGGACATGGTTCCCTCACTGACAGCACCCTGAAGAGCCAAAAGAAATGGCTTCATTGCTTGTTCCCTTGTACTGATTTCCCTGCTATAGCCTTACAACTCTTTTGTGGCACAGCTTCTGTAGGCCAGCACTACTCCTGCTTACAGGGAGCACACCGGGCAGGATCTTTCTTTGGACAGAAAAAAAAATTCACTTTTTTCCTCCTTTTTTTTTTTTTCTTCTCTCCCTTGAACACCTCTACTTGACACAGAAATTAACGATAAATCCCAAGTCCTCTTATTGCTCTAAAAGCAGTGGATTGCATTAGCTCGGCACAGCCTCCCTCCGCGGAGCCCCGAGCGGGTCGATGCGGGTCGATGCCGCTCGGCGCTCGCTTGGCCGCGCCTGCGCGCGGGGCGGGGCGGGGCCGGCCCGGCGGTTTTCCCGCCAGCGGCGCGCGCGGGCCGTTTCCGCGTCCGCGCGCTCCCGTGAGGCGATGGTGGGTGCTGGGGGGGGGGGAGACCGAACCCTACCCTACTCTACCCAACCGTTTGCTTGTGCTTGTGCCTGTGTCTTTGATAGTGCCAGGAACCTCCCGGCTCCTCACTGTATCTGTTGTGCCTCTCTTCCAGAGGAGGAGCCTGGCCCCCAGCCAGCTGGCCAAGAGGAAGGCGGGCGATGAAGATGAGGAAGAGGAGGAGGAAGACTGGCAGCCCCCGACGGTGAGCGAGGGGCGCCGGGACGTGGCCCCGTTTTCTCGGCCCCGTGTGAGCCCGCAGCCATGGGCGCTGCATCCCAGTCGCTCGCCGGTGCCTGAGCCTGCCCATCCTCTCTCTGGGCATGGCACCCCCGGTTTGTGCTGCTGCAAAACTTTGTGTTCGGCATGTAGTTGGTGGGAGAACTTCATTGCACAGATGGTGCTTCGTGGATATGGAAAGACTTATCCTTGTGAGAGCTTCGAGTGCTGTGTGAAAGGAAGGATGACTGGGTAGCTAGGAGTAGGCTGTTTAAGACAGAATGTTATGTATTTTTGGAACAGGACACGGGAAGATCAGTATTGGCGATTATCTGTAAGAGATAGTAAAGACCTCGTTTAGCCATTCATAATGACACGAGTGCCAGCCCTAATCCTAATTTACAGTTATGTTCTATGTCGTACAGGTTAAAGACTCTCATGTAATGTTTTCTATGTCAATTCCATTTTTCAGTGCCAGCAGATGGTTGAAACCATGCCTCACACTGAAGAGGACTGTGTTAAATCAGGAAACAGATCAATAACCTATTTATTTTCATGCTTTTCTAAGTGTTTGAAATGTAGGGTTCAGTGTGAAGCCTTTCACCTGCATAACACCAGGTGCCATGGTGCCTCTGGGGACTTTGATGTAGTTTGTTCCATGCTACTGACCCTTCCTTTTCTTAATTCTGCTTTTTTCTTTTGAGTGGCAGGAGAGGACAAATCTTAGCTTTTGCAGGCTAGAAAGTGGTAGTTATTTTCTTAACTAGGAGAATGTTTTAAGCTTCGTGTGAATTAAACTTTAGGGTGCAGTGACCTTGCTGCGTGAGTCGTGTGGCAGCGAGGGTGAGCGGTGGCTGTGTGTGCTCAGAGCTGCTCGGCTGCCTGGGCGATGGTCTGTGTGTTTTGGTGCTTACTGAGTGTGACTGCAGAGCATCTTGTGCTCTGCCCAGCTGCCCCTGAGTTGTTTGGTTCTGTTTTCCAGAGCCGGAAGAGGCAGAAGGCAGCCGGTGAGGCGGAGAGTGGAGAATGCTACAGGTCGCCTTTCCGCAAACCCTTGGCTCAGCTGACCAACAGACCCCACTGCCTGGACAGCACTCAGCACGTGAGTGGGCTTGCTGCTGCTGCACCCACAGCTCGCTCAGCAAGGGAGTCCAAGTGCCTCCATTTAAACTGAGGTGTTATGGAAGTGCCATGCAGACACAAAGTCTTTTGGAGAGGCTTTTGGCCAGCTCCAGCCCTTCTTCAGTCTTGAAGGAGCTGTGGTGGGGGAACTTGATGTAGTGGAAATCCTGAGTTAGGGAGTTCTGTAAGTTCAGGTGAAGGACAGTACCCAGAGATGTGAGCTGGTTTCCACCCAGGTGGGTCAAATACTGTCTGCCTGCCCAGTTCTCTCTGGGCTTCCAATGCTGGAGACCAGATGCTGGACTAGCTGGGTGCTTGCTGATCCAGCATGGATGTTCCTGCAGTGGTAACCCAGCTCCTTTATAGGAAATGAGTTTCCTGACTGAATTACCAAGGCAGGGGGAAGCAATAGCCTTTAAAGAGATGAATAAAGGCAGTGGATTTAGGAAGATGGGAGCTATGAAAAATCAATTTCATGTATTAGAAAACCCAAAGGAAAATAATTTTGAAAAGCAGAAGTAGTGGAGGAAATTGTGCTGAATTGTTACTTTCTTCCTTTTGGATAGTCTTGAAAGTAGTTGGAGTTGAAGCTTGAGTAGATTTAATAGAGGACTCTGAGTACTTGGCAAAACTGAGTTCTCAAAAAATGTCCTGGACTTGCTTTCTTGAGCAATCTCTGATTTCAGACTTCTGAAATGTGTTTTCTTTTTGAATTCCTAGGAGGCTTTTATCCGCAGTATTTTGTCCAAACCCTTCAAAGTCCCCATTCCAAATTATAAAGGTAAGATGAGGAGGTTTGAGGATTGTCTGTGTTGGCTGACTCGGGTAAAACAGATGATGCTTAGGCCTGTCAAATATATCTGTGGGGATTATTGTTATTTTTTGCACTGATGCATATGTTCCAGAAATCCTGACTTAATTTTGAAAGAAAAATACTGGCATATTAGCAAAGTCTTCATATTTCTTACTAGTGTTTAGTTTGGATAATCCTACATTTCAGAATTGGATTTTATAGTCTTACTGCTATGTATTTGATGTAGTGCCAGGAGATTTTACACCATATCACAAATACAAAAGCAAAATGAATTCCAAGCCACTAAGGTTTATCATTTAAATAATGATGCTAACAGACAGAAGGCTGAGGTGAAAAAGATTTGTATATGCCAGTTTTATTTCTACTTGGCTTGGTGTGTTGAGCCTCAAGGTGATCTTCAAAATGAGATTGTTTTGAAGTTCAAAGCCTCAGCTGGTTTGAATCAGTGAAACATAAGATCTCAGAAACAAATGGGCCTGTTCATGTCCCCTGCTTCCCCTTCACCCTCCAGCTGCAGAACTCTAATGCAGATCAACCAGTTTCACTCAAACTTTAGTTATAAAAATGTCTGTAAGCAGCCACTGAATATGGAATGACAAGCCCCAAAAGAGTTTGGCAAATCTTGAGTCTTGAGAAGCAGATTTGTCAGGAGACTCCAGCAGAACTATAACTGGGAAAGCTGCTTTCTGTGGCTGTTACCTTGCTCTTTAATTGGGAAAAGTGGCTGTTTCTTGTGCTTGCTTTCTTGTTGTGTGTGCTTTGCTGCCTTAGCTTGGGATACACTCCTGTTTTGCAAGGAGCTTTAGTAAACAGTGGACAAATAGACTGGTAGAATATTTTTCAAGCAAAATCAATCCTGGGAGCACAATAGCCTGAATTTTGATGGAAAAGGGTTTTTTTTGTATGTTCTTGTGTTCCTCTCCATTTCAGAACTGTGACATCAAGATACAGTACTAGGAAAAGGGACTCATGCTTAGTTTCTGCTTTTCACAGAAATTGGCTCCAAGGCCAAATATCTACTATTGCTCAGCAGAGAAAAAATAATACCCCAGAGTGGGTAGTGACAATATGATGCTGGCTGTGGTGCTGTAGAACTTTGTCACTGTTAAATATCAATTCCTGACCTTGCATCAAAGATACAAGTCTGCTAAGTCTGGGTTAGGTGGATTTTAAAGAGGATTTTACCCAGCATATTCTATACATAGGAGGGTATTTGTTGAGATGTGCATTCTGGAGCCCTCTTTGGCTTTCAAAAGACTTGAACAGCTGCCTTGGGTGAGCAGTGCCATTGCTCCATCTTTGCCTCTGTTCCTTCGTTCTGTTTTTTCCTGCTGCAGAGCTTCCCACTGTGTGCTGCCAGAGCGCTGCCAAACAACGGCCCCACTTAGTTTGCTGTCTGCACCAGCTGTGCGTGCACCTCCACTCCAGCACCCAATTAATTCACTGTTCCTAGGTGTAATCGAGCTCTGCTTGCTTCCAGGAAGATGTTGTTGTTTGAGCTGTGCCTTTGTTTGCTTTCAGGGCCCCTGGGCTTGCGCTCGCTGGGTGTCAAACGAGCAGGACTGAGGGGTCCTCTCCACGACCCATTTGAGGAAGGAGCTCTGGTTCTGTACGAGCCCCCCGTGCTGAGTGCCCATGACCAGCTGAAAATAGACAAGTGAGTCATCACCTGGCATGAATGCTACAGCTCTGACCTCTTTCTGGGTGTAGGTTTATGTGCTTTTTCTCCCAAATGTGTTTGAGCTGGGGTCTGAGCATCGAGGGGAGTTCGATTCCAAGTATTCTGACTGGACTGGTTCAGGTATGGTTACAATCAAAGAAGGAATGTACCCTTGCTGGATTGTTTGTGTTCTTTCACTGACTGTTCTGTCTCATGCATCAAAAATTTAAACCTGTTGCAGGGAGTGAGCATACACACATGGAAAAATTGCTTAGAAAAATCTCATGGCTTAGTCATTAGTCAGAAAACATCAGCATCTAAGGACAGGCAAAGGGAGATGACTGTCAAATGTTAGGCTGCCTACTGGTTTTTATTCTGAAGTAGTTTCTTTTGTGCTATTATTATAACTTAAAAAGGCTGTCAACTGGATTTTCATGGACAGTGGGAGGAGTTTCTCTTGCCTGAAATTAAGTTACAACATTGTTACAGAAACAAGAAAAACAATACTGACTTTTTAACTGTGTCTCTGAACCAAGTTCTGCCCTTGTTTTACCACAGCCCACGTACATGGTTTCACTGATGTTTCAGACTGTGGGTGGGTCTCTAGCTTCATTCTCAAAGCTGCATTAATCCATTTTTCACTTTCTTGTTTGAAGTTCTTTCCCCTGTACCACAGGGAAGTCCTCAATATAGCAATGAGATTTAAACCTAAACATATGCCAAATTCCTTATCACTCTCTCTTTTTCCTTGACTGCCTCCTGCAGGGACAAAGTACCTGTCCATGTTGTAGTGGATCCTGTCCTCAGCCGTGTTTTACGACCCCATCAGAGAGAAGTAAGTTTTCCTGTGACCCAGTGTAGTGTGCATCTCTGGCTACATAGCAGGAGGCACTCTGGTTTTGGGTAAGCTGCTGCTTTGCTGGTGCTTTTGTCAAGTAATCAAAGTTATGCTGGTGTCCTAGGCACACTATTTTTTGGCAGGTAAATGTTGATGATAAAGCAGTTTCTGCTCTAGGCTGACTAGTAAGTCTACCTGCTAAGATTCCTATGCTGCTTTATTCAGCTGATGCTCCTACATAGTTGTACAGCTCTGCTCCAGCTTTATTGTGACTTTTGCCTAGGTGCTGGTTCTGCAGCAAAATGCAGTCTTACAGCCAGTAATGTACTTCATAATTCTACAGCTGGCTTAAATAAATTCCATTAGCCTTTTACTAAAAGCCTAAGAAAGAAAGAAAAAGACTTGAAAGTGCAGGTCAAGGTGCTCCATCTTCAAGTCCTAAGCAGTGGAGTAGAGAGGATGAATCCTTGCAGGTGTGTTTAGCTTGTACATTCCCAGCACAATGCCCTGGTTTTCTTTGACTTTATCATCACATGGTACAGGAACATTTTGAAGTTTGTCTCTTCACTCCCCCCCCCCTTTTTTTATCTGTCTCAGTGATGTGTCAGAGCCTAATGCAGGGCTGAGCTCTTCTCCCACCATGTGACGTGGGTTATAACCTCAGCCCTGTGTCTTTAAAGCTAAATCTGCTTTGGACCTTGAGCCCCCAGGTGAGTCACTGCTTCTAGGCAGAAATGATGAGGGCTGATGATGGTGTTCTGGGAATTATTTGGGCAGCAGAAACAACTCTACTCACTCTGATTTTTTAAAATTACCTGATTTGGTGGTGTTAAGATGATAAACCTCTTTGAAATGATTGATGCATGTTAGTTCATGGCCAGGCCCTGTCTAATTCAGAAAAGGGTAGAAATTTCTGGGAATTCATGTTAGGAAGCTGGTTAGAATTGTACAAGTAAAATGTAGCAAGATTTGTGCATGTTGTGAAGTACATGTTGGCACCAGTAGTGCAGTTTCACTATAGATGTGGCAGCATTTTAGCTGTGCCTCGGGTGATTTCCCTGTCTCATTAGAGCACTGCATGTCCCCAGGGACGTGTGTGACACACAGATCTGTTTGTTGTGCTATCAGTCTTGTGCATTGTGGTAATGGAGTTGTCACTCTGCTGATGTCCTCATCGTGCTCTGAGAGAACAATTTTTTGGCAGGGGGTGAAATTCCTCTGGGACTGTGTGACGAGCCGGCGGATCCCTGGGAGTCATGGCTGTATCATGGCAGATGAAATGGGGCTGGGCAAAACTCTCCAGTGCATCACACTCATGTGGACGCTTCTTCGGCAAAGCCCGGACTGCAAGCCTGAAATCGAGAAAGCCGTGGTGGTGTCTCCCTCCAGCCTGGTGAGAAACTGGTACAATGAAGTAGAGAAATGGCTGGGGGGAAGGATCCAGCCACTGGCCATTGACGGAGGCTCCAAGGAAGAGATTGACCGTAAACTAGGTACAGAAATGTTTGCAGTCTGGGTGTTCAGCTGGTTGGGGTCAAAGTCTTGCATTGTAAGAAGGCTGCAGCAGCTCATGTGAACATCTCTGAGCAGTCACTGGATCTCTGCACACTGGTGGCTGTCTTTCCACTAACATGTTTAGATCTGACTCTTGTGTGTTTGGTAATAGTGGATCTTTTGCCATAATCCAGATCTAGTCAGGTGTTAGGGTAGTCCCAATGCTCTTACTTTGCTCCAGCCAGAAGGGAGGAAAGGAGGCAGAAAGGACACGAAATGGGAACAGTTGTGGGGGAAGGAAAATGTATATATATGGGTGGAAGGGTTTTCATAATTTTTTAAGGCAAATGTTTTGACCATTTGACCTGTTTTCTATTAGTTTTCCTCATCCCTTTTTTTTTTTTTTCCTTTCTTTTCATTTTTCCCCTTCCCATCTGCAGCTGGATTTATGAACCAGCGTGGCCTGCGAGTGCCTTCACCCATCCTGATTATCTCCTACGAGACCTTCCGACTGCACGCCGAGGTGCTGCAGAAGGGCAGTGTTGGGCTCGTCATATGTGATGAGGTACGGGGGCACCTGTAAGGGGAATCCATTCCTGGTGTTTTCTCAACATCCGGGTGAAACTGGATCTGCTTTCTTAAAAGGAGAGTGGACAATGGGATGAAAGACATAGCTGTGGACAACACCCATTCTGGTGTTTCAGAGGCTCTAAGTAAGATCAACCATACTGTGTGAGCCTGAGCGAGAGAGGTGTCTTCATGAGCCAAGATATGAAGAAAATCCAGCTGGTGGTAACTGCATCCACTTGTAGGTCCCTGATTCATCCCTGCTAAGGCCCTCTCCATGTGATACAGTACCAGAAGGGAGGTCCATGCCTGTCTCTGTTGGAAGTGCCAAGTGGCTTACTGGTTTTAATGCATTGGTGTGTGTCAAGCTCTGCTTTCACATGGCTGAAATTGAGTTATTTTTTCACTTGCCATTCCTTATTTGTGGTTATAGGTAGTGAGAGTCAAGAGATGCTTTGAAAAACAAAATAAAACAAGTGTCCTCTGCCTCCTTGAAAAGATCAGGCTGGGGCCTGGCAGGGGTTGCGGTGTAGTCTGCTTCTGGGTAGAAGGAATTTATTAAATAGGGGTGCCACCCAGTGGTTTGGCTTTGTATTTGCCAGAACAGTGCCAAGAGTGGCATAAAAAGAGCGAGTGTCCTCAGGAGTGTAGCTCCATAAACCTTTTATCTATGAGTCCATGACTGCCCACCCCTCTCAGTACCCCTGGAAGGAGGCCAGCACCTAGGGAGTCTGGGAACCCAAGTCCTTGGCCTTGTGGCTTCTACATGTTCCCAATAAATACCTCTGCTGCAATCTGGCACTCATGAAAAACATCTTATCTTGTGCTTTGTCTTACCCAGCACTCAGATGCTAATAAAGTTGCTTTTCCTAGGCATGAGAAATAGAGCCTCTATTCAGATTACCCATGTGAGAGGTGAAGAACCACTTTTTATTAGGGTGCAAAGCAATCCTCTGTATATGTGGTCTGAGTGGCTTGTGGTCTTGACCTTGAATGAAGCAATTTTACTGGTCCAGAGTTCAGTGCTTGTGTTCATAGCTGAAAACATTCCCATCTTAGAACAGGAAGTAGTTCTTAGAGTAATATTGTGTGATGGTTGTTATTTTCATTATAGTCTTTCTTGCCTGGGTGGAGCTCAGATATTTCTGGTCTGGGAAGATTGTAATGTCTTGTTTGCTCACTTCAGGTTTTTCACTAGATCCCTGTCTTTGAAACAAGTCTGTTGCAACACTTACTCCATTACCAGGAATGGGAAAAGTAGTGAGATGCCTTTTATGAGTGCTGATGTGGCTCTCCAAGCTGCTTCCTGACAGGACCACTGGATTTATCAGCCTTATTCCTTTTCTGTTTTTTTTACAGGGCCATAGACTGAAGAACTCTGAAAACCAAACTTATCAGGCTCTCAACAGCTTAAACACACCTCGAAGAGTCCTTATCTCAGGCACTCCTATTCAGAATGACCTGCTGGAGTATTTCAGCCTGGTGCACTTCGTCAATTCGGGCATCCTGGGTAAGAGATGAATGTGTGGGAGATGGGAGGGAGGGGAAGGTGCTGGTCAGGCTTCACTCAATGCCAGCAGAAGCAACAGCTGAGACGTTGGTGCAAAATCATGTCAGGGGCTTGTAACTAGATGATCCCTTAAGATCTTTTCCATATGAAACCGTTCTGTGATTCTATGAGATTTGTCCTCTTTCAGTTTGTATCCAGAAAGCCTAGGTCAGGGTGCCCTGCTCTAGGGGCTATGTATCGTCTGAGCTCTGTTTCAACAAGATTCTAATGCCAAGTCTAACCAGTCTAACAGGTATTTTGGAAGGGGGATCAGTTAAGGGAAAATGAATCTGTGAAACTGAGTGCTACTGTAAATGATTTATTTTTTCATCACCCATGATTGTCTCAGGTTGTTGGGCATCCAGTCCAAGAGGCTTCTCATTAATTCTAGTATGTGTACAACTCTAGTTAAACACAATTCGTCAAATTCTTAGTCTTGCAAGCACAATTTGGGCTGTGTCTTTTTCCGTTCAGCTGTTTTGCCCCCAGGAGTTCCCAAGGAAAGGATGGAACAGGATGGTACATATTCTACATCTACTTTTTCTATGTGCTTCAATTTTGGGTAGTTATTATAGGGAGCTGATGAGATTTCACCTTCCTCCCTTGACCTGTACTTTGGCGAGATTACTCTCCCTGTACTTGCAGTTCGTTCTCTCTGAGATGAGGTTAATGGTGTAACTACTGCAGCAAAGCTGCATGCACTCAGTAGGCATTTTTCCCACTTTCAGCCTGTGCCAGTAATAAGCAACTGATTACAGATAATTTTGGAGTAGGCACAGATAATGCTTGTGCTGTTGTTTGCAAGGACAGAATCTGGGAATAAAAGTATAACTGGAATGTGAGCAAAAGCAGTATGTACATGACTGTTTAAGTAAAATTCTATGACCTTTGGCTTTGTACTGTTGTTGGAGTACAGAAGTGATTATCTGTTGTACTGACTTGTCTGCCTTGTGTGAGTCTTTCTTGGCTAGAAAAAAAATACCAATCTTATGGATGGGATAAGGGTTTGTATCTGCTGGGATCAGTGTTTGGAGTGTGGTAACTGAGGCTGTGGGAACCTGATCAAAGGTTCCTTGGTAGTAGAATGTCACATTTTCACTTCTGTTTTATACAGGAACTGCACAGGAATTTAAAAGACATTTTGAACTGCCCATCTTGAAAGGAAGAGATGCAGATGCAAGTGAAGCTGAGCGACAAAAGGGAGAAGAGAGGCTTAAAGAGCTGATCAGTATTGTGAACAGGTGAACTTCATCCCTCTTCTCTTTGCAGAGCTTTTGCATAAGCTCTTTGCATAAGCTCTGCTATCTTTCCAAATTACAGTTGTAGCTGTAATGAATTCTCTTGCCTGTTATGTCTATTCAGCAAGTGATTGTGGAAATATTTATTACCTAAGAAATCCACATAGCATGGGGCTTTAGTCTGATAAATGGAACTGACATGGCACAGTCAGCTGCAGTCACCCCCAAACAGTACTCTCAAGTACTCAATTATTATTTGACTCCTATGTTTCTGTTTTCTCCTGGGGCCAGAATAATCAGGCAGCATCTTTTAATTTATGTTAGCTGCAAATGTGGGCTGGATCAGACTTGAGATCCATCTGGCCCCAGGTGTTGAGGAGCCGGAGTGTAAGGAGTATCTCTCAATTCGGCTATTGATTGCCCAGGTCACAGAAGAGTCGAGCTCACACTTCCACAGTTTTGTTGGCTCTGTAGGGCTGATAGGACAGACTACAAGTGTCAGAGATGGGACTTCTGATCCCCAAGAAGCACCTCATTGATGTGAAGTGCTGTCTTATTTATCTTTGGCTGATTTGTGGTACTTGTTTAAACCAGTTTTATGTTCATGAATACAACCAATTTATCCACATCTTCTCTTTAAGAACTTTCTAGAAAAGAGTCTTGAAATTCCAGCATTGCTGGTATCTTCAGGTTTTTTTCTGATTTTTTGTTTGTTTCTTGTTTGGTGGCTTTTGGTTGGTTGGGGTTTTTTTTGTTTTTTAGTCTGATATTTTGCAGCCATCACAAATACAGTCCTGCAGTTCAGTCATGGTAAATTAAATTGCACACTAAGTAGAATTACTCCATAGAGATAGTCCTGACCTTGACACAGATCAGCTTGCAGAAGCCTAGGAAAAAGGACAGGTTGAGAGGAGAAAAGCTTATTCCTTCTCGAGGTGCGTTTATTTCTGTTTATAGTTGATGAAAAATGGATGTGAGTGAGTTCAGGAATGCCTGTGCCTGGCTCTCTTGAGGTCTGTGTCCTTTCCTTTTATTGTTCAATAGTCACGGTACACAAATAGGGAAGACAAACCACAAAAGTAGTACCAGATGAGTCTGTTGAATTTGGTAGGAATTGCAAATGGGACAGTGATGCAAAGACATATGGAATCATAGACGTAAGGCTGGAAGGGCCCTGGAGAAGGCATCTAATCAGTCTTACTGTCCTGAGGTAGAAGGTGTTAGACCTAGACTATCTCTTAACCCCCACCCAGCACTGAAGACTTTGCAGTTTTCCTAGGACACCTTTTCCAGGGCACCGCTGTCTTTGCAGTTAGAAAATGCTCTTAATGTGTAACATAAATCTTCCTTACTGCAGTTTAAGCCTATTACTTTTCATCCTGCTGCTTATGAGTTTGGAGATCAGATTATTCTTTTATTTACCAGCCTTTGACTGATTTTGAGGTTGTCATATATCCCTGCTGTCTTTCTTCTATAGGTTTTGTAACATATTTTTGATGCTTCCTGGCAGAACTGGGTTTCTGCACCTCTTACTCTGGTTGCTCAGCTCAGCACTTTCTGTAGTCCATGCCACCTTTCTGCAGTGTGGCAAAACTGCTCCATGGGGCATTTTGAGAGGCCAAAGGATATGTCCTTTGCTGGAATCTTGGGCCAGGCCATGAGCCCATCATGGGTGAGGGTGGCTACTGAGTTATTAAATGAGGAATTGCCTGCCTGCATTTTGGGTTATACACACAGTTCGTGGTGGTCGATCCTTGTACTTGTTTGCTGTCCGTGCTGCTGGTCTGTTGCAGCTCAAATTGCAAATGCTGTTGGTAGTTAGAGGAAGAGCAGAGTTTCTCTTGTGATTGAGCTCTCTGTGTAGGTGGAATCATGTCTAATCCCTCCAAATCTCATGAACCACATGGAAGCCTTGCAAAACAATGAATTATATGGGACTTTGTAATATGGCTTCATTTGGATTGTGGGTGTCTGGCCTCAGCCATGTGTTGAACTGTCACAAACCTTTTGAGAGAAAATATCAAAGGGACTGTCTGTTGACCACCTGAGGAATAATAGTGATAAAAACGAGTTTTATCAGTAGAAGTGATCCAAGAGTCATCCAAGCATCTGATCTTAATTTCTCTCCCTGCAGGTGTTTAATTCGGAGAACTTCAGACATCCTGTCCAAATACTTGCCAGTGAAGATTGAACAGGTGGTCTGCTGCAGGTACCAAAAAGCATCTGCTGTGTCTGGGAAATAGTGGAAACAACAGGAAGGACTGAAAAATTGCAATAAGCCCTTCAGTTCTTGAAGTGACTGCTTCCCTCTAGGAATAATGTTGTAGCCATTGGCAATATGTTGCTTTTTCTCCTGAAGCTGCAACCCACAACTAGTGGCTCTGCCAGCCAGCTGGTGAGCTCTGGGCAGGTGTGTCGAGCGGAGCCCTGGGCTGTGCAGTCTCTGCAAGCTTCTCTTCCAGCTCTGGAAGATAGCAATACTATACTGGCAGCCCTGGGGGCAGTTCTGGGGTATCTGTGCTGTAGCTAGAAAAACTGAGCTGAAAGGAACATTCTGTAGATGGAGCAGGCTTTTGTTTACTGCAGACTGGGACTGCAGAGCTCTTGTTGTGTTTCAGACTGACACCTCTGCAGATTGAGCTGTACAAGAACTTCCTGAAGCAAGCCAAGCCAGTGGAAGAGCTGAAGGAGGGCAAAATCAGTGTGTCATCTCTCTCTTCCATCACATCCTTGAAGAAGCTCTGTAATCGTGAGTTGTTCACATGGGTTTGGGTTTTGCACTGTTGGTGGAGCTTTTTTTGCTCTCCTTGTGCACACCACGATCTCTGAGCTCTGTTTGTTCTCCAGATCCTGCTCTTATCTATGATAAGTGTGTGGAAGAGGAAGAAGGATTTATGGGAGCCCTAGGCTTGTTCCCTTCTGGCTATAGCACCAAATCTGTGGAGCCCCAGCTTTCAGGTATGGTGGAGCTCAGCAGTACAGATGTGCTGCCTAACACAGGCAACCATGAGACTGTATTTAGCATCTTACCACGTACCCCTCCGGGGTCTGGAATTTGGGAATTCTGCTCTAGCTTTTTCTTTTTCCTTTTTATCCAGGAAAGATGCTGGTTTTGGATTACATCCTTGCCGTTACCAAAAGCACCAGTAATGACAAGGTGGTTTTAGTGTCCAACTACACTCAGACACTGGATCTATTTGAAAAGCTCTGCAGGAGCAGAAGGTTTGTCTTTGGGTTTCACTGGTTTAATCCTGTTAGACTGTACATGTTGTCTATGCTGTGAAAGATCTGGCTATTTCTACACTTTCTATCAGCAGGAACTTGTGATCTGTCTTTTAGCTCAGGTGTTCCTGAATTGGAGCTAACGTAGCTTGTGCTTTATCTGCTGGGGTCACTCAGCAGAAAATCTCTGGCCTTCTGCTAACATTTCTAAAGCCCATTCTGTTGTTACAACGCTGATGGTGACAGATTTTTCTCTTTTAAGCAGGATACTCTAAAGATGGCAGCAGTCTGATGGCAGTAAATTCTGTATGTTCCAGGTATTTGTATGTCCGGCTGGACGGCACCATGTCCATTAAAAAGAGAGCAAAGATCGTGGAGCGATTCAACAGCCCCTCGGTGAGTAGAACCTGCCAGATGTGAGCAGCTCTGAGTGCTGCCAGTAAAAGCAGGGCTGCCTCTGTAGTCTAATCCCAGACTGCCTTTTTGCAGAGCCCTGAGTTCATCTTCATGTTAAGCAGCAAAGCAGGTGGCTGTGGTTTGAACCTGATTGGGGCCAACAGGCTGGTGATGTTCGACCCTGACTGGAACCCGGCCAACGACGAGCAGGCCATGGCTCGCGTGTGGCGCGATGGCCAGAAGAAGATGTGCTACATCTACCGACTGCTCTCGGTGAGGAAAACTGCTCTGCCCTCAGCATGGAGCTCTGGGTGCCAGCCCAGACTGCAGCTGCTGTGATTGGGGCCAGAAGGGAAAGAACTCTTCTGTGTTGGTGACCAGAATTGATTGGAACTTAGCTGCTTCCTACCCTTAGATGTGTTGCCATGGAAAACCATGAAGATTCTAGCTGGAGGGTCATTACTGCAGCCCTTGCTTTCTAGCAGTGGCTGGCTTCTGAGAAATAGAAACAACTGTGGCTTTGCAGATAAGATGTTCCTTTGAAGTCATTTAGGCATCTGACTTCTCTAATTTCATGGGGTGTCTGATGCAGAAGTTGCTGTTTTTCAGTCAGGCTGCAGTCTGTTTTAGTTGGGTGTACGTGTACTTTAGAAAGAGCAAATGTGTTCCTGGAATTACCAGCAGCATTTTGGGATGGAGCTGCCAGTGAGCAGATGAGATAGCTGCTCTGTAGAGGAAAACCATGAAGGAGACTGCTCTTTTCAGGCTGCTCTAACACTTTGTCCAGCAGTGCCAGTAGTGATTAATGCTTAGAAGTGTCTCCTCTGCCCTTATTCACCTCTCATTAGTTTAGACTGTGGGGTTGTTTTGGTTGTGAGGGGGAAGTTATTGGGTGGGTGTTTTGTGTGTGGTTTTTCGTTTTGTTTGGGTTTTTTTGGGTAAGCTTAGGTTCCTTGCTCAATTATTATTTTTACTTGGAGAAAACAAACATTCTTTGCCCATCTTCTCTTAAGGGACTTCTTCTCTGACCTTGCTGCACTTGGAAGCAGGGAGGTCTTTGCTTTTAGAAATAGGAAATCAGTCTGAAAGTCATGACTAATCACCCCCCTCCTTAGTATTACATTTGTTTGCAAAGCAGACATTTTGCTTTTAAATTTTTGCCTTAGAAATACAGCATGCTGGGCTTTCTGCACATCTGTTCTGGAAGCAGACATCTCCCTTCAGGCAGGATGTGATTGATCTGTGTGTGGGTGAACCAGAAAATACTGCTGATGCTGGTATCACCCAGGGCTAGACCTTGTTGCTGCTTCTTGGGGAGATTGTGGTTGGGATTTTTTTGTCAGGGAACAGCTGTAGCTGCTCAGCTTCTTTCCCTTCCTTCCTGTTAGCACAACCTGACAGGTTGCAGTGTGTGAGCTTTAGCCATGAATGGCAGTTCCACCTCTTTCTCATCCGTATCTGCACTGGATCCACTCCTGCAGACACAGGGAAAAACAAGCAGAGTTGGGTTAGATCTGCAACAAACCCGTGTGGTTGGAGTGCAGCTACTAAAACTTGCCTGTCACTTGTACTGGCGAGGCACTGAGTGGTCCCAACAGCTTAGTGCCATTTGATCTGTGACACTTTCCCCATTTAGAACTCCTTTAACACCAGTGTTCCAACTGTGCTTCATCTCTGACTTGCCTGTAGACAGGGACCATAGAGGAGAAGATATTCCAGCGCCAGACCCACAAGAAAGCCCTGAGCAGCTGTGTGGTGGATGAAGAGCAGGATGTAGAAAGGCATTTCTCACTTGGGGAGCTGAAGGAGCTCTTCACGTTGAATGAGACCACCACCAGTGACACCCATGACAAGTGAGTATTCTGAATGACTCAAGGCTGGGATAGCAAAAGTTTGGTTGTGTTATTCAGGGGTCTCCTAGGCAGCAGGAGGAAGTCCAGAGAGTGAGCTCAAGTGTTTCTGCTTCTGAAGTGGTTAACCAATTAGACATGAGCACTTCCTTGCTGTTTTGCCTTTTGGTTGTCTAGGAAAGTTGTGCTGGCTGGACAAGTGAGCAAACTATCTTGTAGCTGCCTGTTTTGGAGACTGCAGCTAATGAAAAGAGAACCTGATCAGAGCCATTCGAATTGGTAGAGCCTAACTTGGTCCTTCCTTACTGCTCTCTTTCTGGTGAACTGGTGAAAAAATGCTGAACTGCTTCCATACTAGGGCTTCTCAATTGGCTAAGAATTCAGGAAGCCAGCCCAAGGGCTGTTCCGGCAATTAAAAGAATACTCTTCTCCATTGTCTGCCCTTCTCCCCCAGCCCAGACACCTGTGGTATTATAGCCACCAGAAAGAGAACAGGGAGTGCAGGAAAAATGCTTCACTGTGAAAATTAAGACTCTTAATTCAGGGAAGAAGTGAAGAGGATTAGTTTTAAGCTGTATCAAAGCTTAGTTCAATGTCGGTATCCATTCTGCATGGCAACAGCCCTTGCTGGCCTGGCTGCTGCTGCTCTTTGTCTCCTGAAGTGACAGCTCAGTGGGCTACCTCCAAAATAGCCTGAGCACAACCTGGTGGCTTTGGTGGGTGGGAGCCAGGGTGGAGTGTTCTGGAGCATGGTGTGCTCTTTGAATTTAGGAGTCCTGATGCAATACTAATAACGTGTTAACAGCAGTCACTTAAGATCTGTCTTAAGCAACATCCCACACCTTTCAAGAAAAACTCCTCCTGACCTTCCTCAAGGTCTTGCTCTACTATTCCCAAATGGTTAAACATGAAGAGGGGCTGCCATTGGAAACAGAGCCCCCAAGTTTTCAAAATGTGTGAGTCACTCCTTACCTGTCACACACACCAGAAGGTAGTTCTGTGTTTAAATGAAATGCAGTAGTAATTCAGAAACTGAAAATCTAGCTCCAGGGGAGTTAATCCAAATGCAGAAAGAGTAGAGGAGCATTGTGCTGATCTGTCGCTGACCTCGTGGCAGGATCAAGTGTCGGCGCTGTGTGAACGGGCACCAGGTGCGGCCCCCTCCCGACGGTTCCGATTGCACCTCGGACCTGTCCCAGTGGCAGCACTGCGCGGACAAGCGGGGCCTGCAGGACTCTGTGCTGAAGGCTGCCTGGGACGCTGCTGTCACCTTCACTTTCCATCATCACTCCCACGAGGAGCAGCGAGGGATTCCCTAACAGGTTACTGTCCCCTGTGGGGGCAAGGGCAGGCTCTGTGGCAGCCTGCCCCACTTTGATCCCTTTCAAAGAAAGGGGTAGTGGGCAGCTCTGCATGCTGGACTGTTGTGTGGCTCTGGAGTGGCTGGAAGGCCCTTGGCAGTGTTCAGTCTGCTGCAGCAGCAAGGAGTCCATGGCTTTTTCTCTGCTGTTGTATTGTGTGCCTGAAAAACAACCCCTTGGGAACTGGGAAAAACGGGACCTTGCATGTTTGATCAGATTTAGCACTGGTTCTCTTGCCTTTCGTATCTGTGCCTTCTACTCAGACAGCTTTTTGTCTTCAGGTTTAAGTTGAGCCAGGAGTTTTATAGCACTTGATGTGTAGTCAGGTTTTTTTCTTTGACAGCTCTGGCTTACAGCTGCTGATCAAAACGTGCAGGATCCATTTTTGCTGTGAAATACGAATCTTGCTAATTATTTGGAAACAACAGGATTTTGTACAGGGGGAAAAAATTTTAGCTCGTTTGTTGGAACATCTGGCCTTAAAGATCATGCAAGCAGTAGGAAAATCAGGCTCTATCCCAGTAATTCCATTTCTAAAACTACTTGCTTTGTTATGGGCAGGATCCCCTGATCTAGCAGTGTTTTACACATTACATGACAGTAATAAAATTCACTTTGCTACATTTTGGGTCTTAATTATAATTTTATTATAAAAATGTTACAAAATAACTATTCAAAACCTGTAAAATGACTGCAGGCACTGGAAAAGGGCAGTGTGATTGCAAATAAACAGCCAGCTAATTTGGTACACAAAGAATTTTTTGGTATAAAGTACAACTTTCCAAATGGAAAAGATCAAGCCTGAGGGCTTCAATACCTTGTTTTCTACTCCCTTTAGTGGAGGTAGGAGTTCTTACTTCACAGACCACAGAATGATGAAGTTGGAAGGGATGTCCTGTCCAATATCACCTGGAAGGTGATGCTGTCCAATATTCCTCCTCAAAAACAAGATCACCTAAACCTGGTTGCTAAGGAGCACAATCCGATGACTTTTGAGTCTCTCCCACACTGGAGATGGTTATTGGTGAGACATTAGCTAAAACAAGATCAGATTTGTCACAACACCCAGTGACATGAACAACTGTTTGTTCAGAAGCTCATTTGATGTCCCATTTGTAATAATCAAAAAGATGGCTAAGTTAGATGATCTGGAAGTACAGCTGTTGGCCCAGCTGTTGTGTCATGGCAGTGCCACACCCCTTCTTCAGATGAACAGCAGAGTGAAAAGAACAACTCTGTACTGCTTGAACTGGGGAAGAAGTCCCCACCTGTGCTGTGAAATCAGAAGCCGATGGGTTTCCTCCTGCCCCGGTGTCCCTCACATGACACTGATGTAGTCAGCGAAGGCCTGGGAGGAGTCCCACGCGTCGTTGACCACGCTGCACACGGCTTTGAGACGCCGCAGCGCCTCCTGCGCTGTTTCTGCATCCTGGTCCAGCCAGTTTTGGAAGAGGCGGAGGTGTGTGAATGGAAGCTGTCCCCCTCTCTGCTGGATGTGGCCTTCCAGCTTCTTTGTGAACTCCAGGAGCCCATCAGGTTTGATGCAATTTGAGCTTCCCAGGGAAAGAGGAAAAAGAAAAACATTAAGAGTCTAGGCTATAATTTGAGCAGTTTAAATTCCTGTTCCTTCTAGTAACTGCCCGTGCAGGTACCTGAGGATGTCTCAAGGCCAGGTGCACCTTTTTTCAGCAATACAAAATATAAGTGTTTCTCATGAAAAACAAAACCGAGTATGAAGGCTGGAAAACTTTTTAAACCAAGATGGTAACAACTGCCAAGTTAAGCTCATTATCCAGACCTCTTACTACCGATTTAAGTAGACCTAGCTGTGGCCTTAAAATGTTGCAGCTGTCAGCTCTCTGGACCAAGGGGCCTGGCCCAACCTGCAAGACTCAGCAGGAAGAGATCGTTTATCTCTTCCTGCTGAGAAAATCTGAAGGGCATGTATCTGGTATTTCTAGGAGATTAAAAAGTCAATATATAAATAAATAACAACTTGCATGCTGGATTTAAATCTTGTCAGAAGCACAGTAATCAGGCTGCAAGCCTACTGAAGGAGTTTGGCCATGGTTAAATAAATTGTCAAGACTATGCCACCCCCTTGTGCCTCATGAAGGTTACTGCCTCTCTCTAAGGGCATTCAGGGTCAAGAAGAGAGCAGCAGTTCTGACTGAAGACCAGTGCTGAGGAAAGGAATGCAGAAGCATTCTCAGAATGTGCCAGGAACAGTCACAGCATTCCCTTGCTATGAAGGGGCAGTGGGAACAGAGCTGTTCACGCTGATGCCCAAGAATAAAAGTACGTAGGGATAACATACAGCTCAGGGAGGGCCTACAGGAGGCTCCCAAGAAAGCAGCAAACCAAAGCTGCTTTAAAGATGGAGCTTGCCTCCTAAAGGTAAAATGTCTCAGAGATCCTGGAGGTCCCTGAAGGTGTATGTGCCCACTGCAGCATTCTCTGAGCTTTTCTTGGGCACACATTCTCCCACGGAACAAAGTTATGCTCGGGTTCTCCTGCTGTAAGAGTACAGTTAAGCTTTCTCCCTCCCAAAACAAGGAATTCAGTGTTTAGAGCAGCAGAATACCTGACATCCAGCTGGCAGAGAGAAGAGGAGGAATCTTCAGAGAAAATGTCGGCAAGGGCAACCAGCCTGTGATTCCCTGAAAGGAGAAATGCACTATTAGATGCAAATTGGAAGTGGTCTTAAATTTTAAATTGCCATAGGGCTGGGATAATAGTGCAGAAAACGGGTCTGCAAGCATATGAATGCACCACAAAGAGCCCACCTCTGCACCCTCAGTGACATCAAGCGAATTATCCCCCTGAGCACAGTGTTTGAGGCAATGAAATAATTTGCTGATGTGGTAGTTCGCTTCCCTAGAAAAACCATGGTTTTGGCTGAGAAGTCTAGATGCAGCTTTGTTTTAGAAATTATGTGTATTCACGTTATCCCAAGCTTTCCTGTTTTACTTTGTTAAAAGAACAGAAAACAATATACTGGATTTATCTGCAATTAATTTCTTGAACATTTCTACTTGGCCTGTGATTCAAAAAGCCTCTCACTTCTTTAAATGCAGTTCCACTTATTTTCCTCCACAAATTCCTTCTTGATTTGTTCTCATTCCTTGGCTTGTTCTCATCCTTCCAGTGGCCAACAGTTGTCAAGACACAAAGTGCCCAAACTTGGGCAAAATCTGTGCCTCTGGATCAGAGGCAGCGCATCTGATGCTGGATCTATTCCTGTTCACTCAACTCTGGAGGTCTGCTGGAACTTGCATTTGCTGCAAGCAGCCATAATTCCTTTATGGCACCTTGGTACACTGCTGAATGCAACTGAAATTCTGCCTTTAAAAATGGATCCAGTGCTCCTTATTTTGTGAAGTAAATCCCCCTCTGTTCCTATCTATGCATCTATGGTAAGTTGAGCAGTGCAGTCAGCAGCTCCTGGCCAAAGTTCCCTCCAGAGAGCTCCTCCTAAGGCCCCCCACACACACAGAATACACACCAAGGCGGTTCCCAGGCAGTTTTAAGCTCTTCAGTGATGAATTTATTTTCACTGTATTGATTATTTCTGACAAAAACTCAGCAGTAGAGCTTTCAAACAGCCGGCAGAAGGAAAACGTGATTTCTATGAAGAAATGGATTTACAGTATGTATGAGTAGTCCCTATGCTTCATTATTCCATAATTACATTCTGCAGCCAGCCCCAGCCCCTAATCCACATGCAAGAACAAAGCTCCCCCAGCAGTGGGCTGTGTATAACAGCACTTCTGCTGTGTCAGGAAGAGAGCAGAGATCACACCCAGGCAAGTGGCTCTGCCAGCTCACCCAGTGAAAGGTTGATGTGCTTTGCAGGTTAAAAATCCTTGTTTTATAGCTGTGACTGCAGACACTTCCCTGCAGGATTTGCCAGCAGCTCCTCTGCTCCACTGGTACAGAGAACCAGGCATGTTCCCACTCTGACAATACCTGCAGATCTGCTCCAAATGTCTGACATTTGGCTAAACCTTACACATCCAAAGATTCCCCTCTTAAATGCCAGCCAGTCAAAAGCAGCCACCCACAGCACCTTTCCAAGCAACAGCACCCAAGAGCTAGGTGTACCTTGTAGGCCAGGATCCTGAAGCAGAAGCAGAACTTCTTTCTGGTGCTCAGCCAGGTTGACATCATGAAAGCTCAGCTTCTTCAAATTTGGAGTACACTCTAAAAACAAAATAAGTTCTCAGGTAAAGCACTGCACATCCTTGGGATAAAAGGACCCTGACCCAGTTATCAGCTAACACCCAGAAACTGGCTTAGACTTTGGATAATTTGTGCTGGATTGTGGATAATTAAAAAGGAAGCATTGTGCTGTGCAGGATCATCCACATGGCATGGCATGTGGGATGACTGATATTTCCTGTTCTCGGGTGACTTCAAGGATGTCCATGCTGAAGAGATGGACCCACCTAAGCTGGCTTCATGCTAGAGGATGGAAGACCACAGCATGGAAGCTACAGTGTGTGTGCCCCAGTGATGCTGCCTAGGGGTTAGCAGAGTACCTTTGAGCACCTCCAAAAGGAGCCCGAGCTCCTGGGGGCAGGGCAGTGTGGCACTGTCCAGGGACAGCTGCTGGAGGGACTTTGACGCCTTGAGCACTGGCAGCAGGAACGCAGTGTGCAGAGGTTCTCTGGGGAATCGGATCTCTAGCACCTCCAGGCAGCTTTCTGAGGGAAGAAAAACAATGAAAGAGTTTGCTCTGGAGTGCCTGTGTTCAGTGTAGCTACAGCAAGCAGGAAGCCTGTATGCCCAACACCACCATCCTTGAGGTTGCTAGAAACTGCCTATGTACCCGTGCCCTGCCCTGAGGAGCTCTGGCATCTCAGACCTGGGGTAATGTCAATCATTTACAGCTCATTCTGGGATTCCTGCCAGACCACCGGGCCACTAATTCCTACTGTGCTCACCAATGCCTAAGGAAAGGTCACCCTTGAATGCACAAGCCAGTCAGCGTCTTCCCAGAGCACAGGTCTTTCCTGACCCCACTCCAAACTTTCATAGGCTTTGCTCACTGCTTTTCTGCAATTCAAGGGCTGATAACGGTGATGGGAGACCTGTGAGCTGAGCACACACTGCTGTAGATCCCAGGCTGTAATCCAAAGGCTTGGGCAGTGCTTTGCCACCTCCTGTGGGTACGTCTAAGGCTGACAGCCTCACAGTCAATGGGACGGACAAAGTGGAAGTTCCCAGTCAGTTTACAGATCTGGTGGGACAGGCTCCCCGTGGACAGTCACAGGTAGCAGGTTATAACTGGCCTTGTACAAAGCTGATGTTGCAGCAGGCTGGGATACAGCAATAAAATATTTTCTCCAACATTCCAGCTCCACAGAACATCTCAGACTGGAAGGGACAAACTGCAACAACTAATTCAGAAAAGTAAGGCTGTGATTGCCTAACAACAAACCCCCATACTAGTGTTGGGTGAAGCCTGTACCAAGCCTTTACAGCTCTACCTGCCTGCCAAGTCCTGGCTATCACTCAGAATGATGATTCCTACCTGGGATTTCTGCCTTGCCACAGATTGGATTCGCCTCTGGCCTGCTGCCCTCCAGCTGGTTTTTGAGATCAAAGCTGACGGAGAGTG